CAAGTGCTATAATAGATCATAAAAGTCTTGCTTAGATTAAACTCTAATTAGCCTCTCAGGGCTAGGAAGCCAAACCGCATAGTTGCCATTAGCATTTGCCTGCAATACCTATCAATTTGGGTGAATTCCTCTGATTCTTGAGGTTCCCCAAAACGTCTTGAGGTTCTTTCTTTTCCTTCTCCCAGGAAAGCAACCTTCATTCCTTACCTGGAAAGACTGCTGAGAACCATGTAAGTACCAGGCTGTTTTTCCAAGGGGCTTTTATTGACCTCCAGAGTCAATCTTAATTCCTTAGAGTCTTCTGGTAACATCCAGAGTCTATGCACGGTTCTTGCATATATGGTATTATAGTCAAAGCCTTGTCAAGAGTTTTCAATTGTGTCCTGTTATGAAAAGAACATTTTTTTCTTGAATTTATGCACATATATTGCCATGAAAATAATAATACTCATTAAGAGTTTCAAAGTCTGACAAGATCAATTAGAGAAAAAACAAGTGCCTCAATACTGCTTACAGAGGTGTAAATAAGGAAAATTCCTTATATCTGGAAAAGAAAAGATTTTAAATATAAGCAATATTTAAAATAAAAAATTATAAAGTTGTAACCTTTATCAGTTCATTCAGTCCTGTGTAATTCAACTTACTCTGCTTGAATCTAGTTTTTCATTAGTTCTTTCCACTTTGCCTGATAACTGAGGGTGGTAGGGTCAGTCATAATTCCAAAAAGTTTGCAAGGCTGTCCATTAAGTTTCATATAATTTGCTCAGTGAACTGGATGCCCCAATTGCTAGAGATTTTGGAAGGCATACCCCAAGTGGGAAATACATTTTCTAACAATTTCTTTGTCAGTGTGAGGGCATCAGCCTATGGCAGAGAACAGCTTCAACTCATCCAGGAAAACATACACACGAGAACATAATGATAACCCATACTAAGTGGGAGTTGAGTGAAGTCCAGCTTAAATGTGCTATGGCGGATGAAGGAATGCAAAAACTGAAAAACAGGGAGCCAGGAAGAAGAACCAAGCAGCCATCTTGGGTTTCTCATTGCCCTGACTATTCGTTTAATTTATAGCCATTGTTCTCTCATCTTAATTTCTCTGATTCAGGGGTAGATTATTGCCATGTTACAAGGACATTAGGATAGCAAAAGTCTGCAGTGAGGGTTCATTTTTGCAAAAACAGAATGAACATCACTATTGAGTGCCATAATCTGATACTCAGGTTCAGATGTTTTAAGTGTGTCCCTCAATTTTGATATCAGATATTTTATGTCAGGACATCTCTGATTTCTACAATTTCGCATATATTTCTGGAACATTTATAGCATATATTAATAAAACAACATATCTTAAAAAAAAATTTTTTTTTTAAATATGTTTTTATGGATGTCAGAAAGAGGAAGGGAGAGGGAGAGAGAGAGAGAAACATCAATGATGAGAGTCATTGATTGGCTGCCTCTTGCATGTCCTCTACCGGGGATTGAGCCCACAGCCTGGGCGTGTGCCCTGACTGGGAATCGAACCACAATCTCCTGGATCATAGGTTGATGCTCAACCGCTGAGTCACTCCAGCTAGGCCAAATAAGTTTTTATTGATTTTAGAGAGAGGAAGGGTGAAGGAGAGAAATACCACTGTGAGATGGTAACATCAATCAACTGCCTCCTGCACTCCCCCTACTGGAAATTCGAGCCACAACTGGGGCATGTGCCCTGATTGGAAACGAACCTGTGAACGTACGTGGGATGACGCTCGACCAACTGAGCCACACAGGCCAAGGCCAAACAACATATCTCACACACATTCATGCATCCCAAACATAGAGTTCAGATTTAACTTGCCAGCTCTAAACCAAATTCAAAACCATTTCAGTTTAAAAACAAAATTCTATGGCCCAGTTGTGACACAGGCTCAACAAATAACAGATATAGTTCTAGTAATCAATTACCTAATTTTCTCATTGTAAGATGAAAGCACTGTTGGTCAGCTATGCCTGGTCAGTGGTAAGCACTGCAGATCTGTCCCTGGAATCAGCCCAGGAAGCCACTTGGACAGAACCTGAAGAGACCACCACAGGCTGGGATCCCTGAACCTTAGGCAGAAAGCTGGCTCAGGGCTGATAAGTCCTTAAACCATAGAAATCTTATACCCATGTAGAATTTAAAGGGGTGACCCTTCTGGAGGGAAATGAGATAGAAAGGGGAACAAGAACAGGGATGCCTAGTAAGGCAGACAAAGGGGACTTCTCTGTCCAAGGTCATAAACTGGGAAGTGGGAGAAACAGAAAAAAGGGACCAAGCAATTCCCAGGCAGACAAGAAGTTTTGAGGCAACAAGACGATCCGCAGTGCCAATGGGATAGCTCCAAGAAGAGTTGAAAATCTGGCCCACCAAAAGGGGCTAGAAGATGGATAGGAAGTAGGAAAGTGCCAATTAATGGCACTAAAAAGCCAGAATTGTCAGGTTGAGACTGGAGGGATAGAGACAGAGAGGTCCGTCCAGCCTACCCTGAGAACAGAAGTGGGACTTTAGGGGGGCACCTCTTACTTGCCCACAAGACGTGCCACTGATAGAATCCAGTCCCTTGAGGTCTGGAAAAGGAATGGGATGATCAGGATCTCTCAGAAAAACAGAACAGAGGACCAGACAGACAGACGTGGAACAGGCACACCTTTGGCAAAGGCCAAAGAAGATGGAGGAGCCACAGGTCACCTAGCAGGCATGAGTCCTATCCTCATCAACAGATCAAGATGAGTCCCATCTGAGTCAATGAAGAATGTCACTGGTGAAGGTGTTCTTGCCCCTCCTCAAGGTAGAACTAAAGAGAGGAGGCAAAACAGATTTTAAAAAAGAGGTTTACTGAAAACAAGGGGGTAGGGAGGAGACAAGGAGGAAGCTTGATGCACCAAGGGAGCACACACTAACCACAGCATGGCTTCTTGAACGGCTGCCAGGGTCTGGCTTATGTAGGGCTGGACTCTTCATGCAGGCAGAGTAGATTTCTTTGCTTTCTAGATTCCCATGTGAGCTGACATCACCTGTGCAGGTGCAGAGTGGAGATCTTTGCTTTCCAGGTTCTCGCTGTGGGCTGATACCTACCAGCACAGGCACAGGGTGGAGCTCTTTGGGGGAGTGCCTGAAGAGAAACTTTAAATTTGTCTAGGAGAGCCTGGCTGGGCGTGGCTCAGCGGTTGAGTGTCGACCTGGGATCCAGGCAATCGGAGTTCGATTCCCGGTCAGGGCACATGCCTGGGTTGTGGGCTCAACCAATGACTCTCTCATCATTGATGTTTCTGTCTCTCTCTCCCCCTCTCCTTTCCTCTCTCTGAAATCAATAAAGATATATTTTTAAAAAATAAAAAATTAAAAAAAATAGACTTGTCTAGGAGATACTTAAAAAATTACTGAAGCCCAGCCAGGCATGGCTCAGTAGTTGAGCATTGACCTAGGATCCAGGAGATCGAGGTTTGATTCCTGGTCAGGGCACATGCCCGGGTTGTGGGCTCGATCCCCAGTCGGGGGTGTGCAGGAGGCAGCCAATCAATGACTCTCTCATCATTGATGTTTCAACTCTCTCCCTCTCCTTTCCTCTCTGAAATCAGTAAAGATATATTTAAAAAAACAAAACTGAAGAGCATTCCCGTCCATTTAAGAGGCTCAGCCTGTCTCAGCTTTACCTCTGCCTGGCTTTGTTAGTGAACTTGCTTTAAAGGTTTTGCCTTCTAGCTCTGGCCAATGTGGCTTACTGGCTAGAGGGTTGCCTGAGCACCAAAGGGTTGCAGGCGTGATTCTTGATCAAGGGCACATACCTGGGTTGCAGGTTCAATCCCTGGTCCTGGTTGGGGCACATGCAGGAGGCAACCAATTGATGTGTCTCTCTCACATCAGTGTTTCTCTCCCTCTCCCTCTACCTCCCTCTCATCCACTCTATAAAAAAAAAAAAAAAAAAGTTTTGCCTTCTAGCAACTCAAATATAAATCAATCCTACTCCCAGGAAGGTACTGTGACTCTTTCACTGTCATCTTGGGCAGTGCCAAGTTGCCCTACCTATTAATAGCTTCTGTTTTCTTGTGGAAATCCAGTCTCCCCTGAAATCTCTTTAAAGGATATTTGATAAAGGTGTGACAGATGATATGAAGCATGGTGCACAAACATCTCACCTTGTCTTTCTTTAAACTGATAAAGGGGTGAGAAGAGTATTAGACTCAAGTCCTTTTTGAACTGCTTTAGCACTGCTTCTGAGGTACAAGCAGAAGGGTTTCTCAGCCTTGGTGCTATTGACATTTTGGGCTGGATAATTGGTGGTGGTGGTGGTGGTGGTAGTGGGTGTGTGCACTTGTGCTGTGCTTTCTGTGCGTTGTGAGATGTTGAGCAGTATCCTTGGCCTCTACCCACACTAGATGCCAGTAGCACAGCCTACTGCCCAGTTGTGACAACCAGACATATCTCCAGACATTGCCAAATGTCCCCTGCGGGGCAAAATGGCCCCAGCTTAGAACCACTGGGTTGGGGATTGATTATCATGAGATATAAATGCAAATCATGTTAATCACAGTAAAATTTTCAGTTACCTAAACCTTTATTTATAGTGATGAGCTGCTCTAAAGAATCAAAACAATAATGTGCCTCTCGTCCCCCATCCTGACCCTCTTTAACATGAAGGGGCCTTCACCTAACTCGTGTTCAGAGATCATCTTTTAGAGCTTTGCAAAATTTATTTTGCTAGAAAGTCCAAGATTTTTCTGTTCCTTTCTTATCGAAATGAAAACAGAGGTCCTTCCTAGTGAGCCTTCAACTCGAAGTCGGTGACCTCAATATAGATTTGATTGCCTGTAAGGCTTTTCATAGAGTCAAGGGTATTTCCATTTTTTGTGTAAAAGTATATGGGAACATTTAACTTTAAACTTGAAGTGATACTTTCTTTAGTGTATTAATCAGGATCATATGACATGTCAGTTGTATAAGTAATTTATCTCATTTAATTCTCATACCTACCTTGCAGAGTTTTTATTACCATCCCTACAGATGAAGAAACTGAGACTCTGAGAGGATAAGTAGCTGGTCCTAGGCCACCCAGTTGGTATATGGAAGAACCAGGGCTGTGCCTGACAAAAACCTATGCTTTGACTACATCCCTGTGCTGCCTCTCAGCCTGTGTGTGGCCAGTGGATTCTCTCTTGGCTGGGCTCAGTTCAGGTAACATTTGTTGGGTGCCTACCACAGGTTGACTGTAGACATCATCATACAATTCATTGTCTCAACTCCTTTGGTATCACATCAGCACATTGGCATTGTGCTGTGCAAAAAGAACTCTGTGCATGTGCCTGCCATTAGACTTACTGAACCCATCTTGTAGAAACTTTCAGATGGATGTATACTGAAATCAAAGACTTGCATTTGTACCTAAATTAATGGTCACATATGGCACTTATCCAGACACTGAGTTACTGTCAGCAGCTGTTGCATGGGGAGGCTGTGTCCTGGGAATTTCATACTGATGAGGAAAGTAAAACACATGGCTGTGGAAATGTCATAGACCAGGCAGAATCACACATGATGATCTGTTATTTCTTCTCTTCAATCTTAGAAGGCTTCGTTGAAGAGCTGGAGTATCTGGAAAGTTTAAGGACATTTGGCTAAATAATCACTATGCCACTTTTATTTTTCTGCCTTTTGTTTTAAATCCTTATCTGAGGATATTTTTTCTATCACTTTTCAGAGAGAGCTGAAGGGAGAGAGAGGGGGGGAGAGAGAAACATCCATATGAAAGAGACAGATCGATTGGTTGCCTCCCACATGCACCTTGACCAGGGCCGGGGATCGAGCCTGCAACCGAGGCACATGCCCTTGGTCAGAATTGAACTGGGGACCCTTCAGTCCGTAGGCTGATGCTCTAACCACTGAGCAAAACCAGCTAGAGCTTTTTCTGCCTTTTAAGTGTGGTTTTTTGAGGAGTGTTGCAAGAACGTAATTTGTTACTTAAAGAAGAAAGAAAAGGGGAGCCTCTTACTCTCTCTGAGAAAGTCTAATAGCTGCTGCTGCCATAGACACAAACCTGTGCAGGATGGGACCAGCCTCTTGCAGTTACCAGTTCTTGCTCTGGGCTTGTTTCTGTGCTCCCTTTCCACACCCCCCACTCTCTACCTCCTTGGCTGCCTGAATCTAGGCAGTCATTGTGAAAAAGCCTGGGAATAATACCTTGCTTTGTGGGCCTATGGAAACACATTAAGATTCCTATGGGTCCAAAATGAGAGATAGGAGCCACCTCATTAGATTGACCAGTGCCTTGGCCTATGAGTTGCTAATCTTACAAGAAGTTTGTGTTGAACTTTTGCATGGATGTGTGCTCCCTGGAGAGGACCGATTTTGTGTTGTTGTCAAACAGTATCACCCTGTATCAGCCAGTCTGAAACTTGCTTTTTTAGCTCAACATTATATCTTAAAGACCTTCCTTGGTCAGTAAATACAGACCTACTTTGACTCAGTTTAACTGCTACTTAGTCATCCAGGGAAGGTTTTTAGACTTTAGTGGTTTATAAAAATTTTTTGGCATATTTGAATTAATTCCAGGTTTTTGCCATTATGAACTTGCATAGAACCATCCTGATTGACTGTTCAGTCACTCTTCTGGAGTAGATGATAAAAATATTAAGAATACCATTTTTGAAAAATAACCAGATTTTCTTTCCCCACCGTCCTCCCCAGTGAAGCAGCTAGACAGCTGTGGCTCTGGGGGGAACTGCTGAGAACAAGACAGATGACTTGAATGAAGGTGCTTCAGATATTTCACTGTTAAATAGGAAGATTTCTGGTCAATTGCCCTTATCAAGGGATTTTAACCTAATGTTTCTTCTCTTTCTGTTTGCTTAATTTTTTGTTTTTAAAAAAGAAGTTTGTGTTGACATACTTTTTATCCATCCCATCACACTACTGTTTCCAAGACAGAATATAGATTTTCTTTTCTTTTTTAAATATATCTTTATTGATTTCATAGAGAGGAAGGAACAGGGAGAGAGAGAGAGATAGAAACATCAGTGATGAGAGAGTCATTGATCGGCTGCCTCCTGCATGCCCCCTACTAGGGATCAAGCCCTCAACCCAGGCATGTGCCCTGACCGGGAATTGAACAGCGATCTCCTGGATCATAGGTCAATGCTCAACCACCGAGCCACACCTGGCCGGGCAGATTTTCAATAAACAGAAAGATAGGCCCTCGCCAATGTGGCTTGGTTGGAGTGTTGTTTCAGGCACTGAAGGGTCTCAGGTTCGATTCCCAGTCCAGGCACATGCCCAGGTTGTGGGTTTGATCCCACATTGGGGTGCATCGGGAGGCAACCAATTGATGCTTCTTGCATCAGTTTTTCTCTCCCCCTCTTCCTCTCTCTCTAAAGTCAATTAAAAACACACACATCCTTGGGTGAGGATTTTTAAAAAATGTATAATAAACAAAAACCCCAGAAAGATAGTACTGAAGAGATTTTAAACACAGCATGTGGAGGACATGCTTTTAGATTCTTGAAACCAGAGCTTCTATTTCTTTGTAGTTACTATGGCAATGGGTGCTATAGAGATGTGCAGACCCAATTGTGACCTCCCCCGGTGTAGGGATGCCCCGAGCCTCTGGCTTCATTTTCCATCAAGGTCTGGCAGGTCTGGCTGCTTCTGTTCAGCCACCAAGTGGTGGTGGGTGCCATTCCCCCCTTTGGGACCAACCATCTCCAGCCTTGGCCTGCCCTGCTAGTCAACAAAAGCAGGGCTTCCCAGGGAATAATCTCTGGTTGTCCTGTAATCTGAATGAGCCAAGGTGAGTGTTGTGGGCATAGGCATCAGCAGCTTCTGAATCTTCAAATGGGAAGCTAAGCATTTATTTCTTAGGAATCAGAATCAAGCTCATTTTTCATACTAATAATAACAAATGACAGTGGTTTAGAAAACCTGTTCACACTGCACATGTAAATGCAGTGCAGTGTATGTAGCCTTGCTTTCCATGTTGCTAGTAGTCTGTGGTGACATTGTAATCATCCCTAATGCATGTTAGCTGGGGACATGGGAGGCATCACCTTGTATTCAGAAGGACTCAGGTTTGGTCCCAACTTGACTGTTAACTCTGAATGACCTTCTTTTTATCTTAGTTTCTTCATAGTCAATATATCCCTGCTCAGAAGTGACTTAGCCTGGTGTGCCCTGGTCTGTTAGACTTTAGTCTGGTTTTCTTCCTCTGCATCACCCTCTCCTGGGTGAACTTGAGTGCCTTCCGCCTCTTCAGGGATATTGCTAAGGTTCCATCAAGCCTGTTTGTGCCTATTCCTAGAGAAGAAAGCATCTGGGAGCTGATAGGACTTCTGGGTTTTCCAAAACAGAAGTTTAGCAGAAATGTCTTAATCACCCACTCTCTCCCTCCACCCCCAAATGCTATTTGTACTAATCTTTTGTGAAAGAAGCTGAAACCACAGATGACAATTGTTGCACCTGAGTGAAAGGACATTTGACTGACTCTTAGTTCACAGGACACATGCTTATAAGATTATTACAAAGTTGGAATAATCTTTGCTTGTTGGTATCTCAGGGTGACCCACAGTCTTATCAGCATTTCCTGTGTTACAACCAGCCTTGTGGGATGTGTAGTGCTATGCTTTGTTCTTATAAAATGGTGGCCTGAGCATTGTATTTATTTATTACTTATTTATCATAATATGTCTGTATTGATTGCAGAGAGAGGAAGGGAGAGAGAGAGATATAGAAACATCGATGAGAGTCACTGATCGGCTGCCTCTTGCATGCCCCCTGCTGGGGATTGAGCCTGAAACCTAGGCATGTACCCTGACCTGGAATTGAACTGAGATCTCCTGGATCATAGGTTGATGCTCAACCTCTGAGCCACTCCAGCCTCGCTAGCCTGACCATTTTAGAATTCAGTCAAGGCTTCAGCCCTCAGGCCCCAGATATTTCTCATGAGACTAAAGTGTCTTCATCTTCTTAGCCCTGAGACCTAGTCCTCTCATACAAGATGGGGTGGCACTCAGAGAACAGGAAGGGTCTTATATTTATTTCATTCGTAGCAGGAAGTGCTCTTTACCAGGACTTTTGTTTAGCACCAGCAACAGACTCCTGGCCCCTTCTCTGAGCTTTTTTCCATATTTCAAGTTTTGTCCTGGTGTCTGCTTTGAATGCTCAATTATGTTTGAGCATGCTAGAGATGAGTTTACCGCCTCCCCAGTAAGAAAAGCCTGCCAGAGAAGTCTTGGACTTCCTGAGCAATGTCAGTTTTTCAGGTTACTAAGAGGCTAATGCCCTTAAACTAGTTAGTTATTTTGCTTTCTGGTCACTTGTGGCTGAAATGTGCAAGTGTGTTTAGTAAATCTGATGCAAGAGCTCTGTGTCCCTAAAGTCCCCACATTTCCAGGACTCCTTGTCTGAACTTGCTCTTTATCAAGAGGTTAATAGTCATCTGTTCAGTGAACTGTGGGATTGAATTCACCCAGTGATTAAAATGAAAGGGGCGAAACTTGCGTATAAGATTTCCTGAGGAGTGACAACACCAGAGTTTAGAGACCTCAGGTCATTGATTCTATAAAGTCAGAAGCTGTTGACCTAGGTCCTGTGGTTTCCTCAGAGTTTTGAGAGGCCTCTCTCATCAAGTGCCTTGTTGGGTTAGAGCTGATTCACTCTCTCCTCTGCTCCCAGCATCCTGCTCAACCATCATTGAGCAGCATCTGCAGTGTGGATTTTCTAGCTGCAGTGGTCATGTCTCACCTTGGAAAGAACAGCTATTCCCATGTCCTGACACTGCCAGAGATGAGGACTGAGTCAGAAGTCCTTAGGTGTGACCTGCTCAGAATTATCTATGGAGTCACTGGATTTCACATTCTTCCTCAGTGTTTCATAATCATCCAGCCAACAGCTTTCTAAATAAGAGATTATCAGCAATTGAGGCAGCATTACATTTCATGAGACACTTATTACACACATTAGCTCATTTAATCTTCACAGCACACTTGAGAATGTGGAGCAGAAAGAGTTTTGTTACCCTTTTATGGATGAGGGGAAACAGCCTTTCAGAGGTTATGGCTTACCTACAGCCATGGAGCTACTAAGCTTTGGGAACCCAAATCTCAAACAAAATATTTCTAGGTCTAGGCCATTCCCTTTGTGCAGGACCCAGCTGCCATTCCATTCCTGAAGATGAGCTGGGTCTA